GTAAAAAAAAAGACTTATTTTATTATAATTAATATTTTGTAGTCATTAGTACAATAAATTTATCGCTAAATTCATCAATAATTTTAACCCGTTTTTGCTGCCACGTAACTTATTCCGCTTTTGCTCCCATTATTATTATTATAAACCACTTTTACTATTAGCCCCTTATTTATGATTAAAAATCGATTTTAAAATTTTTTAAATTTTCATTGTTTCGTTAAAATTAATATAGTTCTTAAAGTATACTTGAAATATTTTAATGTTCTTGGGCTTGAATTAAAGATCACTGGGAGGGAAAATTATACATTTCCTCCCTCTCATCGGAAAAGACTCATTTTTCTGTCTACATGCAGGTTAGAAATGATGTATTTTCGGCGGGTGTGTTAGAAAAAAAGTTTACCTCTAAAAATAATCATGAAAATTTGTCAAATTTCTTAAATTAACTTCAAAAAGGCATATTTTTGGAGAGAGTTATATCTAACAATTGGATATTTAAATTGCATGCAAAATTACCTTGAAAACAAGTCAAAGAACATTAAAACACATAAATTTTATTTCAGAAATTATGTTAATTTTATTAAAAGAAGAAGGCAAACTCAAGAGTTTTTTTTATGTTTTTAGGAAATTATTTAAATTTTTTTGTTTCAGGTTTAGTTTTTAAAAAATGTTAATAATAGTAGATTTAAGAGATTCACTTTACAATAAAACCAAAACTTTAAATTGTTAATAGATTTTCAATCTTCTTTAAATTGTTTTTACAAATTTTTGTCAATTGTCGGACCATCCATGGTCCAGAGTTCGGCCAGACAAAAATTTTAAATCTCTTAAACTAAGTTTCTCGAAGTTTTGTCAACCATCGGGCCAACCAAGGCCTAGAGGTTTTTCCAAATGAAAATTTGTCAATAATGTGATCGTTTGTCTTCTTATGACATAAACAAAGGCTGTCCAAGTTTTCCGAGTTTCTGCTGATTTCAAAGCCTCAAAGTTCTTGAAATTTAAAATCCCCCATTATCTCCACTCTCCCATTACCCCACGCTCCCCTAAATTGGGCTCTTTGTTTTAACCCGAGACTTACTCGAGACTCATGCGTTTCAGGTTCAGAGTTCGATTTCTATCTTGAGTCCATGCTTTCCTTAAAGTAAAAGTCATTTGAATATTACCTCAATATTATCCTAATGTTACAGTCCAAGACTAATATTCCAGAATATTACTCGGCAATACTGCTTTAGATAGTTAACTATAACTATAGTAATAGTTTTGTATGGAACACTAAACAACAACTATTACGTTTTCATAATGGTTGAGTTTCAGGTTGACACGAAAGTAAATTCAATATGTTACTTTAGTTTCTGATTGACTCGAAACTAAATGCAGTTTGTTACTTTAGTTTTGGGATGACCCAAAATTAATTCAGCCTTTTCTTTTCGATTCCTGTCTGACCCTTGACTGTAACGGCACTAAACTTTCGTAGCTTTCCCTGTTACACTCAAGTTTGTGTTTAACTGACTTAGGTTTAATAGATTCTTAGAATCGAAAATGGATTAAAAGGTAAGGGGACGGATACTTGGACTTGAGCTTTCGTAAGTATAACAGAAAACGTACTTTTAAAGTAGCAACATTTCTGAATGTTTCAAAATGTCGTTTAGAAATGTTAATTTTTAAAATTATCATTTTTTAGTCTATTTTTTTCAAAAATAGCTTTAAACAAACGACTAATGTCATGTTTTGAACTTAAAACATATGTTTTTAAAAGGACAATTGGAAATTTTTGAATCACACTTACTGTATTGATAAAAAATGACAAAATATTCGCCAAAAGTACTTCCGGGGCATATTGGTTAGTTCTGCTTATAAGATTGCACCCCTACAGACCCGAAACTTCCGTTAATTTATGAATATTATATATAAAGCAAATTTAATTATTCTAGTTTTTAATTGTTTATTAATATGCCCTGATGCTTGAAAAATGAAAACAATGACTAACTACCCATAGAAAATTAGCCTTAATGTCAAATAATTATTGAACTTGGTATCCTAAGGTTTTCGGGGTCGCTGATTACGAATCTGACAACAGTTTTTCGAATTTCAAAATGGCAGATCCAATATGGCGGATGACTTTTTTAAAAATTGATCGGATTCGCTTGAAAATCGTTAGTCGGTGGTTTTTGGGGTCGTTGAATACGAATCTATTGTCAGTTTTTAAAAATTCAAAATGGTGGATCCAATATGGCGGACTTGAAAATTTAAAATCGACTGAATCCGCTTAAAAAGAGTTACTCGGAGGATTTTAAGGTCGCTGAATACGAATATGGAGTTAGTTTTAAAAAATTCAAAATGTAGGATCCAATAGAGCGGACATAAAAATTTAAAATGCACTGAATCCGCTTAAAAAGAGTTATTCGGTGATTACTAGATTACAAATTGTTTGGTACAGGAATTATATATGTATAAACATCTTTTAACTATTAACTATTTTTATTCAACCGTTTTGAATCATCAAAATTTATTTTCATTTTGAATTTTTGAATTTTTGAAAACTGACTTCAGATTTGTATTCAACGACCCTAAAAACCCCCGAATAACTATTTTCAAGCGCATTCGTACGATTTTTAATTTTTATGTTGCCATATTGGATCCGCCATTTAAAATTTTTTTAAAATAACCAGTTTCGTATTCAGCGACCCAAAAAACCCTAGAATAACGAATTTCAAGTGAATTTATTCGATTTTTAATTTTCATGTCCTCCATATTGGATTCAACATTTTGAATTTTCAAAAACTAACCACATAGATTCGTATTCAGCAACCCTAAAAACCTCTGAGTAACGAATTTCAAGCTAATTCATTCGATTTTTAATTTTCATGTCCGCCATATTGGATCCGCCATTTTTAATTTTAAAAAAAATGACCTCAGTTTTGCCTTCAGCCACCCCAAAAACACCTGAGTAACTTTTTTTTTGAAAAAGCATATAATTTTCTCTAAAAATATTTCCATTAAAAAAATATTACATTTTTGAAAATTTTGAAAAAGTCGTCCGCCATCTTCAATTATTTGTAATCAATTTAAAAAAATTTGGTTTTACAGGGGTAGTTTCTGTAATTTTTTTATTACCCTGTGGGGAGCGTTCACAAATGATGTCATGTTTTTTTTGAGTGGGGGAGGGTGGGGTCTCTACTAAACGTGACACAATGTATTTTTCTCATGTGAAATTGCAAAAATTGCGTGACAGGGGGGAGGGGGTGGGGTCGAAAATCTCCAAAAATTGCGTGACATCATTTGTAAACGCTCCCGTGGGTGATTTTTTTGTTATTAATTTTTTTACAATATTTACTATATTTTTAAGCATTTGTAATAATCGAAGTTCAAAAAAAAAATTTTTTACAAAATTTATACCATTTTTTTAAATTTTATGATTTTTGGCCTTTTTTAAAGGACTGTATTTCAAAAATGGTAGTTTTTTTAAAAATACATGAATATATTTATTCCTATTGCTCTCCCCTTCAAAATTGAACTTGATCCATTGAGATCTAACAAAGTTACGATTTTTTAAAGTACGTGGGATGTATATGGGCAATTCCACGTGAGATTTCAGTCGACCTCTTAAAATCGGCCAAAAATATTTTTTTTTCTATTCTGTATTGAAAAAAAACAGATACGTATTTTTTTATTATTTTTTTGGAGGCCAAATTTTTGAGTTATGAATTTTCAAAATTTTCGCTTTTTAAATGTAGGTTTATTTTTAATGTCAGATAACTCAAAAAATATTGCTTCTTTTCATTTTTTGACAAGAGAAAAAAAGTTTTGTTTTTCTCTCTACTTTTGAATAATCGTAACAAAAAAAATTTTTTTTCATTTTTTATTAAAAAAATAAAAAAATTTTATAAACAAATTAATTTTTTTTAACTTTGGGTATGATAAATTTTTAATTTTCTTTTTTTAAAACATACCTGAAAATGATAAGAAGGTTTTGCAAAAAGTTTTAGAGTGGGCCTGACAATTTTGATGGGTCCAAAAAAATAATTAAGCTCTCCGTGCAGGTCGCACGCACGTGGCACAATGGGATTTTTTTACAATTTATTATTAAAAATTGTCTAGAGCCTACAAATTTTATCGGATTTTGATTATTATTGAATTTTTAGACTCTAAACAATTTTTAATAATAAATTGTAAAAAAATCCCATTGTGCCACGTGCGTGCGACCTGCACGGAGAGCTTAATTATTTTTTTGGACCCATCAAACTTGTCAGGCCCACTCTGAAACTTTTTGCAAAACCTTCTTATCATTTTCAGGTATATTTTAAAAAAAGAAAATTAAAAATTTATCATACCCAAAGTTAAAAAAAATTAATTTGTTTATAAAATTTTTTTATTTTTTTAATAAAAAATGAAAAAAAAAATTTTTTTGTTATGATTATTCAAAAGTAGAGAGAAAAACAAAACTTTTTTTCTCTTGTCAAAAAATGAAAAGAAGCAATATTTTTTGAGTTATCTGACATTAAAAATATACCTACATTTAAAAAGCGAAAATTTTGAAAATTCATAACTCAAAAATTTGGCCTCCAAAAAAATAATAAAAAAATACGTATCTGTTTTTTTTCAATACAGAATAGAAAAAAAAATATTTTTGGCCGATTTTAAGAGGTCGACTGAAATCTCACGTGGAATTACCCATATATATGTCCCACTGTCCGTTAAAGGGTTAACTCCCAGCCTAAGGCGCCCATGAGTTTAATGCGACAAAAATCTTGTCTGCCTTTGTCTCCTTGTTGATTTATATACTGTTATCATAATCAGGAAGCGAAATGGTCATGAAATTTTTAAAAATTTTCAACTTACTTAATATTGAGGCCAGGCAATGTTGTCTCAATATTGTAGTCCAATGTTTTTTGAGATTATTTAAAAATAATTCATTTTTTCCAAATACTATATATCTTACTTTAGTCTTGATATAATCAACTAATATATATTTCCAGTTTTTAAATTATGAAAAATCCACTTACTTGGTGAAGAAAGCAGAACTGCATTCAGCACACGAAAAGTTTCTTTGACGATCTGATTTTTCATGTTGAGGAATTTGCCTGCAATTTTTACGATGTGTGTTCAGGTCATTTCGTCTCAAAAAACTAAGACTGCACTTGCTGCATGGAAATGGTCGTTCGCCAGTGTGACCCCTGATGTGATTTCTCAAAGTTGTTTTCGAGTAACACTTTTTGCAGAGAGTACACTGATAATTAACCGCAGGTCTACTACTTCCGGCTTCTCCAATTTTAGGTTCAACAGGTCCCGCATGTAGCGCTTCGTGAAAAATGAATTCTGACTGCAACTCAGTTGCAAAAGGACATATGCTACATTTCCATTCGACATTGTCGTTAAAAACATTTGGAATTTCTTGCGGATTGCATTCACCTTCTTTGGTATGTCTTGAGACATCTTGAGATAGTGCAAAAATTTTAGCACATTTTGGACACCTGAACATAAAATTACATCTTTTTAATACAACTGCAAATTAAATGATTTATATTTATTTATTTAATTATGATGATGCATGTGAAAAAGTTCCCGGGAAAGAGACTCAGAAATTCCCGAGAGTGATTACAGGAATTTTTTAGTTTCCATTTTTATTTCACTCCCAGGAATTTTTTGATCCCATTCCCGGGAACATTATCATGGGGGATATCGTGTATATTAGGATGATTGACACTCAAATTTGGATCTACTTTTATAGCATAAATATTTTCTGCGAAATTCAAACCTGAAGCAAAGTTCTGGATGTAGCTCGAGAAGATGAGTTCTTAATTCTGAAAGGCTGGACAGATGTTTATTGCAATTAAGACATTCTCTAGAAATCGAGGGATTATCAGCTTTCGTCGATTTGACTATTTCTTTGTGGGCCAAAGTTCTTCGGTGCAAAATAGCTTCTTCTGTTGTCTTGAAACTCAAAGAACAAAAAGAGCAATAGTACGGAACAAGATCCATCTTTGGAACTTTATTAGGTTCTGACTTGTGAAATGTTAATTGATGTCTTTGTAGTGCCACTAATGATCTAAATACGATATCACAGAGTTGACATCTAATTCTTTTTTGGTATTCGTCAGTAGCTGTGAAATTAACCTCATGTCCAGTACTTTTTGCATGTTGGCATAATTCTATGTTATATCTGAAATAGTTGAAAAAAATTAAGTAAGAGGAAATACCCAGTGGGCATGGGAACGTCAGAAAAAGGCGTCTTTCTTTGTCCACGGAAGGTAAATTTTTAATTAAAACACGTTTTTATATTTTGCATGCTAACTTCTCTATTTATTAACTTTATATACCCAAGTAGCATGTAATATTATAGTAATATTACACTGTAATATTTCTGTAATATTACCGCCGGATTAAGTGCTCAGAAGTTGACCTTAAAGATCTTCATACCCTTTGAAGTTGAGTCAAAATTTAGCTCAAATTTGACCTATTTTTTTAACGTACAGGTCAAAAAGAGGTCCCTATGGGTCCTCCAAAGGACCGATACCCTAGGTCAGAATTTAGGTTAAATGCAACCTACTCTTTAACCTACAGACCAAAAGAGGCCCCATTGAGGCCTTCGAAGGAGTTAATACCCTAGGTCAAAATTTAGGTCAAATTTGACTTATTTCTTAACCTACAGATCAAAAGAGGCCCTATTAGTAATTTTTGATAATCAGTGACATGTTAACTGTCAAAATAAGATGTAGACAATTTTGTTTGATTACAGTGTTCTAAACATTTCTTAAATCTGACAAAATAATTATATAATCATTCAATAACTTTTGCCTTAAAAAGTTTGTCAACTTTTTGACACCTTATTCGTGTTTAGCACATCATAAACCATAAATATACATAAGATCAAACCAAAATGTTAATAAATACAAAAATTAGCATGCATAATATACAAGAGTGGGCGCTAAACGTATATGTTAAACCCAATTTAAACTCTAACCTTTCGGTGGCATGGGTTAATATTCATTAAATGGGCTGTACTTGTGTACAGGCCATTTTTTTCACATTCGTAAAGTCTAGTCTAGTGTCCTAAGAAATTGAAACTTTCCCAAAATGAGGACCACTCTAATAAACTATGAAAGTATACTATTATTATTTTCCTTTCTTAGGTTACTAAAAAAATTGATAAACAAAAGAATGATTACCTAAATGTTTGTTCGCAAGTTATGCATATTAGGCTTCTTTGTCTTGATATGACAGTAGGAATTGAACCATTCATCATAGCAATCAAATCTCGATGACAAGAACTCAAAAGATGTGACTCCATACTTGAGTTTTCATCACACCAAAAGGCACATGGAGCACATTTAAAGTTTCCATCAATCTGAAAAATATTCAAAAATGAGAAAATTTAGCCGCATTTACACTACCGGCAGTGCTGCCAAATGGTTAAAATGTCGAATCTTCAAACTTTTCTTATTAATCTTCAGAAATCTTTAAACTAGTCAAAAAAATTTCTCAATTTAAACAAAATTTTAAATTAAATAATTTTTTCTAAAATATGATAAATGAAATAAAATTTCACAAACAATTTTAAAGGAATAAATTAATATTGTTGTGTTTGAATCTGTTCGCAAATTGAAGTTAGTTTTTGTTTGCTACTCAACTTTTTTTAATAAATTTTCTTTATCAATGTTTTGAATTTTAAAACTAATGTATTGAAAATTACTAATATCTTGCAAAGTTTTTATCCAAAAATTTGAAAATAATTCGAGTCATTTGAACAATTTTATCAAACACTTTTTTAAATAATTGAATAATTGAATCTTTTCGTGAAATTTTATTAAAATTGTTATGAAAATAATTAAATCCGAGCAATGAATTTTTAATGTTTATAAAAATAATTGAATTCTTCCAAAGAATGTTTTATTAAAATTTTTGAAAATAACTTAATTCTTATCAAGAATTTTATTAAAAATTTTTTCAAATAATTTAATTGTTGCGAAAAAGAATAGTAAGTAAATTTTTTAAATTTTGAATCTGAAATTATTCAAAAATTGATGTTTATATTTGAAAATATAAAGTTTCTTAATTTGCAAAATAATAAATGGAACAGTAACATTTTGTGTAGTAATTAATAATTATTATATTTATTATTATAATCATAATAATGTAAAGAACAAAAATTATAATTTATTTTCAAAAAATGGTTTGTTAATATTATTTTAATGTTTATAAATATTTTCATTATTACTTGATATATACACAGCCTTTGAAAAATTTTCAAAAAATCTTCAAATTTTTACAATATTTCTTCAAATTCTTCAAATATCGCAGATTGCTTTAATTTTCCACAGATTTGAAGAAAAATCTTCCAATCTTGCAGCACTGTCTACAAGATCTTTCAGAAGTCATTTGGCCCAAATTTTATTTACATATTTTTTAAACAATCGTCATTTTTAATGTTTTACAAAAATTTGAATTTTAGGCTTATTTTAAAAGTCATTTTCTACAGTATGAGAATTATTTACAGGCATTAACGTGTAATTTTTTTCTTAGAAAATGCAGGTCGTCAAAGTTAGACAAAAAAAAAAAAATTCAAGAAATTCGGGCTAGTTGAAATCCTGCGCATAATTTGCGCCAATGTTGCAGGGCGCTAGATAGGCAAACTCAAAGATTGTTATTTTGAATAAAACATACTCCGGAACATGAAAAATGTTAAAACTGCAGTATGTTAATTAAAATAAAAACTAATTCTTATTGCAATAGTTTTTAGACGGGACTACATAACAGGGCGCTAGATAGGCAAACTCTAAGATTGTTATTTTGAATAAAACAAACTCCGGAACATGAAAAATGTTAAAACTCCAGTATGTGAATTAAAATGGCAAGTAATTCTTGTTACGATAGTTTTTAGACGGGACAACATAACAGGGCGCTTGATAGGAAAATTAAAAGACTGTTACTTTGAATAAATCTAACTCCGGAACATGAAAAATGTGAAAACTCCAGTATGTTAATTAAAATAAAAACTAATTCTTATTACAATAGTTTTTAGACAGGACAACATAACAGGGTGCTAGACAGGCGAAGTCAAAACTGTTATTTTAAGTAAAACAAACACCGAAACATCTAAAAACTATTGGAATAAGAATGAGTTTTATTTGAATTAACATACAGGAAAATTAACATTTTTCATTTGCCGGAGTTTGTTTTATTCAAAATAACTGTCCTTGACTTTGCCTATCTTGCGTATGTTGTGCCATCTAAAAATTATTAGAATTAGAATTAGTTTTCATTTTAATTAAAATACTAGAGTTATAACATTTTTCATGTTCCGGAGTTAGTATTATACAACATAATAGATTTTCAATTTGCCTATCTAGCGCACTGTTATATTGTCTCGTCTAAAAACTATTGGAATAAGAATTAGTTTTTATTTTAATTAACATATTGGAGTTTTAACATTTTTTATGTTCCGGAGTTAGTTTTATACATCATAATAAATGTTCAAAATGACTATCTAGCGCCCGGTTATGTTGTACCGAATAAAAATTATTTCAATTAGAATTAGTTTTTATTTTAATCAACATACTGGAGTTTTAACATTTTTCATGTGCCGGAGTTAGTTTTATTCAAAATAACAGTCTTTGAATTTGACTGTCTAGCGCCGTGTTATGTTGTCCCGTCTAAAAACTATTGTAATAAGAATTAGTTTTTATTTTAATTAACATACTGGAGTTTTAACATTTTTCATGTTCCGGAGTTTGTTTTATTCAAAATAACAATCTTAGAGTTTGCCTATCTAGCGCCCTGTTATGTTGTCCCGTCTAAAAACTATCGTAACAAGAATTACTTGCCATTTTAATTCACATACTGGAGTTTTAACATTTTTCATGTTCCGGAGTTTGTTTTATTCAAAATAACAATCTTAGAGTTTGCCTATCTAGCGCCCTGTTATGTAGTCCCGTCTAAAAACTATTGCAATAAGAATTAGTTTTTATTTTAATTAACATACTGCAGTTTTAACATTTTTCATGTTCCGGAGTATGTTTTATTCAAAATAACAATCTTTGAGTTTGCCTATCTAGCGCCCTGTTATGTTGTCCCGTCTAAAAACTATTGGAATCAGAATTAGTTTTTATTTTAATCAACATACTGGAGTTGTAACATTTTTCATGTTCCGGAGTTAGTTTTGTTTAAAATAACAGTCTTTGAATTTGCCTATCTAGCGCCCTGTTATGTTGTCCCACCCAAAAACTGTTGGAAACTTCTTCATTTGTCGTTTGAAGTAACATGTATAAGTAAAAAAAATTTTCTGGTTCCGGAACCTGATAATCGCAACATTGGCGCAAATTATGCGCAGGATTTCAACTAGCCGAAATTCGAAATAATTTTTTTCTACTAAAGCTATTCTACAAAATATATAAAACATGATATGGTGTAGATTTTTCAAGAGAATTTAATAAAAAATATGTTTGAATTTTAAAAATTATTATTCTGTTAAGATTGTTTCAAATTTTTTTAATTCTTTTGGTTCAAGTTTGACAACCTTCATTCTCTAAAAAAAAATTACACTAATGCCTATAAGTAATTATCATTTTGTACAAAATAATCTTTAAAATAAGCTTAAGATCATTACAAAGCGTTCATTATTTTAGAAGTTATTTAAATTTTTGTAGAATATTGAAAATGACGATTTTTTAAAAATATTTAAATAAAATATTCGTTAAATGACATGGATTAGGAAAGGGGAATAAATATACAATCGAAATTAAACCTTCATAAAACAGTAAAAACTTGTAAATGTTTATAGAGAAACCACATTTTATACGTAAAATCCAATTTTAAAGCTATAGTAGAACCCTAATTGAGTTTTAATTTTAAAAATTAATTTGAAAATAAAACGAGATTTTTTAAAGACTCTTTTCTTAGCGTTTAAGTCCTTTTTACAAACCTAAATCATTAAGTCACTATATAATCTTAATTATTTTAATTTTAATTTTTAATTTCCATTTATATTATATTTCTCCAATTATAATTATTATCTAATAAATAGTGTTCTACTTGTTTTATTTATTTAGGATTGAAAATTGAAATTTACCTTGCTGATAATCGACAGGTGAAAGGAAGATCGCCAATGTAATAAAAAGGTGTCTTCTGTGTTACAATAAAATTTACAGGGACTACATTGAAAAGGACATTGTCGTACAACGTTCTCCATGTTCTCCAAAAGGAATTGCTGGGCTTTTGCTCTAAAAGGGTTTGCACCTGCTACTCGGCAGTGATAATGGGAAAGTAGATGCTTTCCCATTTGTGGGCGACGCACTCGAGCGCAACACATCTCACAAGTCAAAATCTCTTTTTCCCTTTTGCGAATCTGTTTCTTGACAATCTGATGCCCGTCATTCGAATTCTCTTCATTATTTTCTCTCGGCTGTTAATAAAGTTTTCCATCAAATTCATAAACATAATAAAAAACGATACGAATCTAAAAATTAATCTAAAAAATATCTACAAAATTTAATTTAATGAATAATATTTGTTATATTTCTCTCTTAGTAATTATCATTATTATTTAGGAAATGGGACGCTTCATGGCACATCTGACTGGTCGAGAATAGATTTCGTCGCTTTGAAGTGTTCAGAATTAATCGTCCACACCTGAAGTCAGTCAATTATACTTATGCTGTCGTTTTTTTAATATGTTGACAGATTATATTTTTATATTATTTTATTTTTATATTATAATTAATTGAAAAAATGATTATTAATATTTTAAAAATTTATGGTTTCTATTTATTTACTTATTATATATAGTCAAATAATAATTTTATTATTTTTTTGCGTTGACGCGCCAAGTTTTGAAATAAGGTACAAATTATAATCATTCCTAAAAGAAAAATGCAATAAATTTTGTCCCTATATTTTCAAAGAAAAATTCGTACCTATATTGATAAAAAATTATGATTAAGAAAGAGAAATTATGCCAAATTTTTTTTTTTCTTAAAAAAATTTGGAATTTTGTAAGAAAAATTGTAATTGAAAAGTCAAAACCATGCAAAGTTTTTTTATTTTTGTTCTTTAAAAAACTTTGTTTGGCAGATCGAAATTATGGAGTTTTTTTCTTTATTCATAAAACAAATTAGAAAATTGTTAAAAAATTATTATTAAGAAATTAAGAATTTAACCCATTTTGCATATTCTCCATTCCTCAATTTTAACAATATTGTCCACAAAATTGTAATATAAGTATTTTTCGGGAGAAAACTATTTGCATAATTTCTATTTTCTAAATCATAATTTTTGTAAAAAATTCTGTTTTTTTAAAGTGAATAATTTACATTTCTATTTTCCAATTTTTAACTTTTAAACATACCTGCAAGTATTTTAGAAATAAAGGAAGAAGAAATATAAATTTTATATGTCAATCACAATTTTTTAATCGTTTTTAATAGAAAATAAAACATAATTTTTAAAAGATTTTTATAAAATAGAGGAAAAAGATTCAATTTGACAATCACATTTTTTTGCAAAATTCTTTGTTTCTTTTGTAAAAAAAATTACTGTGATTTCTAATTTTTTAATCATAATTTTTAACGAAATTATAATTTACTTTTTAAATTAAGGAAAAGCTTGCATAATTTCTATTTCATAATTACAATTTTAATAGAAAATTCTGTTATTTTCTGTTTAAAAAAGAATAAAATTGGACGATATTTATATTTTTCAATCACAATTTCTTTACCAAAATTTCCAATTTTTTTTTAGAAATTAATAAAAAAAATTTGCATAATTTTTATTTCTTCATCACAATTTTGCAACAAAATCTCAAGCATTTAAAAAAAGAGTTAAAAACTTTGCATAAATTATATTTTTGAATCACGATTTTCTAACATTACTTCTACTTTTTTTGAGAAATGAATAGAAAAAATTAGTATAATTTCTAGTTTATAATGAAAAATTTTGTAAAAATTTTATGTTTTTGTTTTGTGAGAAAAGAAATAAGATAATATTTAAAAAATATTTTAAAAATTGTCTTTTGAAATTTATAAATTTTATTTTGCAAGAATTTGTTTGAACAATTTTTAATTGTTTATTTAAAACAAGATCCGGATACAAGAAGTATTTATTTCAATTAAAAGAAAAAATTAAATTTAAAATAATTTTCAACGTCGACGACAATTATTCTTTTGTATTCAGTGTCTGTTAATGTTATAATAATGGGGTGCGTTCACGTATAACTTTCACTTTCACTAAAAAATTGTTCACTTTCAATTTCACCAAAAAAAAATTTCACTTTCGCGGGAAAAATTTTTACTTATAATTTCACCCAAAAAAGTTTCACTTTCACCTAAAAAATTCTCACTTTTAATTTTACCAACAAAATTTTAACTTTCAATTTCACAAACAGAATTTCCACTCTAAATTACACCTAAAATATTTTCACTTTCGAACAAAAAATTTTCACCTCCACTCAGAAAATTCCCACTTTAAATTTCGCCAAAAAATATTTCACTTCACTGAGAAAACTGGAGAGTCAAATTCGGAGGTTCAAAAAGTGTATGTTTTCTTTGCTTATGAAGAGAGTTAAGTAGTCCTTCTAAAATAAATTTTGAATTGGTAATGGAAATCTACTTGTATATTCTCTCCCATTATATCTGAGGGTTAAAAGTTGCGCAGAAAATGTGTACGATCTGATGCGCGCGAAATTATTTTTCTGACATTTTATGTTTTAATTTATAGGGGTTAGGTTGCCATATTTATTCATTTCGCGCCGGATAAGGAAGGGATTTCTCAAGATGGTTAATTTGTCCCTCTGTTATAAACTCATTTTCCCTCCAAGAGAAATGGCACGAATATCTGTCAATGGTGTATTTGAACATTTAGATTGTTATCCAATAGCTAACTCTCAAATATCAACGATTTGTCCCTTCAGATGTTTAGTCCAATACTCCAGTTTTCTCAGTGTTTTAATCAACAAATTTGAGGTGAAATTTTAAGTGCAAATTTTTTAATAGAAAGTGAAAGTTAAAATATTTTGAGTGAGAGTAAAAATATTTTTTATGAAATTGAAAGTGAAAAATTCTTTGGGTGAAATTGAAAATTCTTTAAGGGAAGGGACCTGTGAAATTTCAGTTCATCTAAATTTTGTTGTTTATGGGTGCTTAATGTTTTTTATAACAAATTTTGGTATTTTAAATTATAATAATGCTTCCAAAAATTAAAAAAATTAAATTTGTTAAAATTTTTTTAAATAAGTATCAAAATTTTCAAAAAATAAAAATTTGAACTGCTCTCGTAATTTTTATTAATTTTCATTGCTGATTTTTTTTATACACTTATTTCATAATTCTAAACAATCGATAGTATGGATTTTTAAAAATTTTAATTTTTTGAAAAATAAAAAATTGTAAATCAGTTAAACATTACTTTTATTCATTTTCTAGTGTAATATGATTTAAGGTACTGAAATAGAAAAAAAAAAATTTTGAAACCCCTAAAAATGGTCATTTTTGATTGGCTCAAATTTTACTAGTAATTCTTAAAAAATTCAACTACTTACATATTTTTTATTATTTTTTCTTGCCAAATGTTTTGAAGGCTTTTCTGATGATTCTGATGAATAATCAATCGTATGGATTTTAAAAAATTTTAATTTTTCAAAAAATAAAATTTTCAAAATGTTCGAAATTTTTTTTTTCAATTTTAACTATATAGAATAAATTTAGATCCTAAATAATGCCAGAAAAAAATTGGCCCCTTTTAACAACGTAATTATCGAAGGGTTGAAATTTTACCGATTCCTCCCCTTAATTAGCTGTAAAAGTGAACATTTTTTTGGGAAAATGAAAACATATTGGGTGAAATTAAAAATTTTTTGATGGATAGAGAGAATTTTTTAAAATTGATATGAAAATTTTGTGGGTTAAAGTGAAATTTCTCTGGGTGAAAGTAAAAATTTCTGCGTGAAAGTGAAAAATATTTTTAAGATATTGAAAGTGAAAATTTTGTAGGTGAATTTGGAAGTTGGGCCTATTGGGGTTCCCATCTAGTTCACAAATTTAAGCCAGTAGAAATCAAAATTGTTTAATTGCAAATATTTTGGACAATAATTGAAATTTTGAAAGACTGGTCGGCATACTTAATGAGGATCTTGAGTACTTCAAAATAATGAAATACGAACAAAATCTGTTCTCGACCAGTTGCAGCTGCAATGGAACGTCGAATGTATTAAGAAATCTTGTCTTGAATTAGTAATAAGTATATCTTTTTTTAAACAATTTTTCTAAGTAGTAAAATTTTAATTAGAATTAATTTTCGATGTATAAACATATCTAATGTTATTCATTAGTAGATATAATATTAATAACTATAGGTATTAATAATAATAGAGGAATGTAACTAAAAATATTGCGCGTTGCAAAAGTAAATATGATTTTTGAAATTTGAAAGTTAAACAAAGTTTTGATCAATACCTCTTGAAGCTTCATTTTTCGGTTGACAGATTGAGGAAATTGTACAACACCATCGATTTCCTGCATGTTTCTCCTGGCGTGAAGGTCAGAGCGCAGGTGCCTGTTGTAGAGTACGCGTGAAGCCAGATTTCTACCACAAGGACTGCACCAATATCCTGAGCTTATATCAGCACGTGCTCCGGGTACCCATTTTCCTCTAGTATGTCCCAGCGGTGGTTGGTCTATATCCATTTTGTGCTCCATCAACTCTATATCCTGGAAGCAAATAACGGAAAGAATTATTGTTATACTGAAACAGGATTGTTAATTTTCGACTACCTGGTAGAAAATTCTCAAATTTTATAAAACACTTACATCCATAGAATTACTTTCGGTAGGCTTCCACTTGCCACCAGTGTGCGACGGCGGAGGATGATGATGATGATGATTATGTTCATTTTCATCTTCATTTGTAATTTCTATATCATCTTCATGAAGATCATGTGATATGGTTTGTGATATGCTGCCTGGTTTCCACTTTCCCCCCGTGTGACTAACAGGAGGATAACTACGATCTTCATCATCTGATTCCGAGAATGATTCATCATCTTCTATATAATCTTCCCCACTCTCTTCCTCCATTTCCTCCTCCTGCTGAAAGTCGAAATCTTCAAATCTACTCAGACTCGAGTTCGAAGTGTCCTTATTGACAGGATTTACCACCAAATCAACCAAAAGGGAATCATCCAACCAACTTTGATGATCTTGGTCTAATCTTTGCGAATCATTCCGTTTACTATCCAGCTGCTTAGAAATTACACTCTCCAATGAATCTTGTTTTCCATGAAACTCAGATGCTTCTATTTTTCCTGAGGAAACCAGGCATATTTTGACGGAAGTTGATGGTTTACTGGTTGAGACTATATCGGGAAATCCGACCAATGACGGAATTCCAAGATGATCTGTCGGATCATCAAGATCAGTTACGACTGGCAGAAGATTGTGTAATTTATCCTTTGAAGAGTCTTCCGGACTTTTGTCCTTTTGATTCTTCTTTTTACGATCCTCATTTCTTCCGGATTTTCTTGAACGATCACTTGAAGTCATTCGACGTGAATTTGATTTCGAACTGCTTTGTAGCTCCAGAGAACTGAAGAAAGCGTCAGCGTTTAAAATTTCTGGATAGGATACTGTCGTTGGAGTTGCAGGTGCATCATGTGATTCTGTTTTAACACGACATCCGGATTGTCGGTGACGAACGTAATTCTCCAAACCATGGATTGTGGAATTGCACTTAATGCAAAAGTGTGTGTCGTCATCGTCATCATCGTATGCCTCCATCATTTACTTTTCGAAGAAAATATTACTGTCCCTTTTCTGAAAAGAAAATACATTTATTTTATTATACGCATATTCTTCAAAACATTCAAATTCAAACATTTTTAAAATTCAACAACTTAAGAATATTATTATTAAACATGAAGATATCAATCACTCCGAGTCTTCGACACTCGGAGTAATTGATATCTTCATATTTTATAAAAATTTTAATTTCCATAAAATTTTTCAAAAAAAAGTTAAATTATATTTAAAAAAATGTACCTAATAAAATTCGTTGTAAGAATACAATTATTTTCATAAATAATAAAATTCTTCACAGGATTTCAATTATTTTTAATACAATTTTTAATAAATTTCTCGAAAATTGAAATTAAATTCAAAAATTATTTGTAAGAATTAAATTACATTTCACAAATAATGAAATTCTTGGCTGAAATTCAAAAATTTTCAAAATTTCCTATTTTAATAAAAGTTCTCAAAAGAATTTAATTATTAAAAGAAAATGTAATAAAATTCGTTGCAAAAATTCAATTATTTTTACAAATAATACAATTTTTCACATGAATTCAATTATTTAAAAAAAAATTGATAAAATTTGTTGTAAGAATTCCATTATTTTCATAAATAATTATAAAATTTTCCTGAGAATTTCAATTACTTATAATACAATTTAAAGAAAATTCCAAGAAAAATGGAATTATTTTCTTAAATTTTTTGCAAGAATTTAGTTACATTTCACGAATATAATGAAATTCTTCATCGAAATTCAAATATTTTCAAAATCTACTATTTTAATAAAAATTCTCAAAAGAATTCAATTATTTTCATAAATAATAAGATCCTTTGCTTAATTTCAATTATTTAAAAAAAAAATTTGAAAAAATTCATTGCAAGAATTCAATTACTTTCATAAATTAATAAAATTTTTCACACGATTTCAATTATTTTTAATACAATTTTAAGTAAATTCTTCGAAAAATGTACCTAACTATTTTCAATAATTTTATAAAAATTCTTCGAAAGAATTCAGTTATTAATTATTTTTAAAAATTCATGCTTTAATGCTTTTAATATTCAATTATTATCTAAAATTTTAACTGATATTCATTTTTAAAACAATTTTTATTGAAAAATTCTACGAGAATTCAATTATTTAAATAGAAAAATGAATAATTTATTAAATAAATGAATGTTTCTCGAAATTTGAATTATCATAAAGAATTTTATCGACAAATTTGAATTTTTTCGAGGAATTTTAATAAAATTTTCAAGAATAATTAAATTTTTTGAGAAATTCAATTGAAATTATATTAAAAATAATTAAAATTCTATGAGTTTTATTATTCATGAAAATAATTAAATTTTTGTTTAAAAATGTTATTATTTATGACAATAATTGAATTATTGCGAAGAAATTTATAAAAAATTTGTAAATAGTTGAATTCCTGTAAAATTTTTATTATTTATGAAAATAATGTAATGTTTGCTTAGAATTTTATCAACATTTTTTTTAACTAATTGAATTCTTTTAGTAATTTTAATTAAAGTAAAGTAAATATTAAAAATCATTAAATTGAGGAAAGTTTTTAAAAATAATTGAAATTTCACAAAGAATTTTATTAAAATTTTTGAACATAATTGAATTTCATTTTTTGGAAATTCTGCCTTCAAATTCGTAATCAGCGGACCCGAAAACCCCCGAGTAACAAATATTATGCGAATTTGATCAATTTAAAAAAAAAATGTCCGCCATATTGGATCCGCCATGTTGAATTTTGAAAATTTTGAGAATCTGATTTCAGATTCATAATCAGGGATCCCAAAACCTACCCGAATAACAAGTTTCAACAAACTCCACCAGCTGTGTTTCCCTGGGGCACGAAAGGGTTAAGCTCAGAGGGATCCGTGAAATTTTAAACCATCTAAATTAATTTTATTTATGGGTGGTCAATTTTTTTCTCACAATTTTGAATTATGAAAATTTTAATATATTTTTTGAAAAATTATTATAACAACAATAATTAATTAGTTAATACTTTTTTTTAAGTAAAATTCAAAATTTTCAAAACTGAAATTTGAACTTATTTTGTAATTTTGATTATTTTTTAATGTCCATTTCTTTATGCGTTTTTTTCATTCTTCTAAACTAAAAACAATCAACTATATAAATTTACAGAAATTTAAATTTTTTCAAAAAATTATTTTTTTGAAGAAAAAAAAATTGTACAACAATTAAAAGTTACTTTTAATTATTTTCAAAATTTTATTTTTTGAAAAAATTTTAAAAATAATCAAAAGTAATTTTTTTCAAAAAGTAATAAAAGATCCTAAATAAATTCAGGAATAATTCTTGAACAAAATTTTCCCGTGCAGAAAGAATCTTTTTACTTATCCATATAAATTTTAATTGATTCAAAAGTAAAGAAGCCAGATCATGTCACCGCTTTAAATACGTTAAAATTTTAACTGATTTAGATTCAGAGAGAATATTTTATTCTATAAAAGGACTAATATTACTCTAAATTTCTTCACTATAGAACAATACTTTTAGGGGTAGTACACATTGGCCGCAGTACAACCCGAGGTCGAGGAGAAAGCAAAGGGCTTGTAACATTTAAAAGTTCAAAAATTATCATATATAGTGCAAAATTATTTCGACTTATCCTTTTTTGAATAAATTGAAATGATTCATTACACCCTGGTCTCCCCTATAAGTGCGCACGATTTAGTGGCGAATCATAAATCGCCCCTTTGAATGCATCTCCTTTTAAACTACGTCACGCTATTTTGGAACCATTTTGGACCTAGCTCTCCCCTTACGACACCTTCTGTTACATACGAATGGTCCTATTTTCCAAACAAATATATAGCTTTTTTCATTTATTTCAGTATTGCATATAAAAAAGTTTCTAAAAGATAGTTTAGACAAAATTTGCGAAAATCTTCATGAAACACATTTTCTATATACATTTTTTAGGAATAATATGAGAAGAGAATATACGAAAAGGTTCTCAACCAATTTTTAACAGCTTTTTTAGGGTAATTTCTCCCAAAAGACACTTGTGTGTGTGTGTGTGTGATGCAGGTTTTAAATTAAGGTGTTATATAAAAATACGAGTACTTTTTTTGAAGGGATTATGTAAAAATGGATGTTCTTACAGTATAACAGTGAACTAGTGGGGTTCATACCGCATTTTGTCCTTTTGTTCCAAGAACTCTTAGCGTCGCGTTGCATTGTGTATTGTGGCAGCTGGAAATAATTTATGCACAAATTATCTTATGAAAAGTATATGGTAAATGGCAAAAATTGAATAAAAATAATATTATAAATAATAACGTCACTTTAATGACGAAGAGTTCAGTAAATAATTCAATTGATTTTAGAATATAATTTTAGTTAAAGAATTAATTATAATTATATTACTGTAATAAAAATTTTGGGTTATTTTTAGTCCCATTTATGTAATTTTCTAAAAGAAGGAATACGGTTGTGTCATTACATAATTAGGGTTTTTTAATGAAAAATTTGGATTCTTTGGCCTAAACCTTAGGGTTGCTACACAACCTAGAAACCTGGAAAACCTGAAAATGTCAGGGGATTTTATAAACCTTAAAAAAACCTGGAAAAGTCAGGGAATTTTGATCGAAATCGTAGAAAATTGTTCTTTTCTAAAGTTATTGTGTTTATTCTTGAAATCTAATTTCACTTAAATATTTCAAAATTAATTCAATTTTAAAAAAATTGAGTTTACAATTTTCATAAGTAAATGAATTTCAAAAGATTTAAATTTAAAATTTTTTAAAATTGGAATTTTAAATGAATTTAATTCGAAACATAAAAAAACTTAGATTTAAAAAAAAAATTTTAAACTAAAATTCTTCTGAAATTAGTTAAACTTTTTATTATATATTTTACTAGTTTTAGTAAAAATAATGGATTTATAGAAGAATTTTAGTTGAAAACACTAAAAAAAAATTGAATTTTGAAGCAATTAGAAATGATTACAGAAGTTCAATTATTTTCAAAAGTAGTAAAATTCTTTTCAGAAATTTAATTATTTTCAAAAATTTTAATAAAATTCTTGGCAAAATTTTAATTGATTTTAAAAACTTTTCTCAAATTAATGATTTTTAATATTTACTTTACTTTAATTAAAATTACTAAAAGAATTCAATTAGAGAAAAAAAAATTTAATAAAATTCTACGCAAACATTTAATTATTTTCATAAATAATAACATTTTTTAGAGGGATTCAATTATTTTTATAAATAATAAAACTCAATGCTGAATTAAAATTATTTTTAATAAAATTTTAATGGAATTCCTCAAAAAATGTTATTATTCCTTAAAATTTTATTAAAATTTATCAAAGGAATTCAATTATCTTAAAAAGCTTTGCTACAATTTATTTATTAGAATTCAAGTATTATTTTCAATAAATTTTTAATTAAATTTCTATAAAGAATAAAATTATTTTAAAAAATTTGAATGAAATTCTTTGCGTAACAATTCAATTTTTTTCAAAATAATTTCAATAAAATTCTTCACAGAAATCCAATTATGTTTCAAAATTAACAAATATTCTCGTCAAAATTTCAATTATCTTTATGAATAATAGAATTTTTCTCCAAAATTCAATTATTTTCAAAACTTTTAATAAAATTCTTGGCAAAATTTCAATTATTTTTAATACAATTTTCATCAAAATTTTTCGAATAATGCAATTATTCTTAAAAATTTTATTAAAATTTGTCAAGAGAATTCAATTATTTGAAAATTTGTTGATAAGATTCTTTATGAAAATTCAATTTTAAGAAACATTCACTTTTTTAATAAAATATTTATTTTTATAGTTGAATAATTTATTTCTTGTAGAATTGTATAATAAAATATTGATTTAAAAATGATTTTCAAATTAAAATCTTTGAAAATTTGAACTTTTCATACTTTTAATTAAGAATTTTATAAAACTAATTTTTCTCAATAACTTTAATGGAATTTTTTTTAATTATTTAAAGATTTTAATTTCTAATAT